CTTGTAATCACACTCCTATTTTCATAAATTCAGTTTCACTTTTCTCATTTTTAAAAAAAAAGTTTTTTTATACTGGTATATATTATATATTTGTAATTAAAAACTAAATGATTTTTTTAATAATTGCATTTTAAGAAAACCAATTGATTTATTTACATACGATGTAATTATTTTGTCCAATCAGTGGTGATAATGTCTGTTTTAAGATTATTGTTCCTATACAGCATTTATTACAAATAAACAAATTCACCAAAATATTAATATTGTTTGCATTGTAATTACATAAACCTTGAGAATCTATAACTTTTTAAATTATCTTGTTTACAGACATACATACAAACAAACAAATGCAGAGGTAATAATACCCATCTAGAAAAGGAAATACAAAAAAATAATGTAGCAGTTTATGAGCGGAGCTTATCATATGAGTGATTGTCCGTCGTCGTCCGTCGTCCGTGTCAATGTTTTACTTTTTTGACTTCTTCTTGAAAACTACAAGCCTGAATGCTTTGATACTTGGTGTATATGTACCTTAGGTAGACCTCTCTTAGATTTGTTCATTTCATGATATCTTCAATTCTCTAATTTTGGTGAATATTTTTCACATTTTTGGTGAAAAGTGATATTTTCGACTTCTTGTTGTTTTTACTGTTAATTGTATTAGATCAAATGGACCTAATTTCCTATTAACTGCAGGTCAATTTTTAATACTTCTAGACATCAAAAAGTACCTTGTAAGATACTATATATCTTTTTTTTTCACCATATGTGACCGAGCAAAATTTTGAGATATATCTGTTCCATAGGAAACAATGATAAAATGCCCCAAAACAGATAAAACACTTCATTTTGTACATCAATTTCATCTGGACCAAGTATGGTGACCCCATGTTTTATTCTACTTTCTTCATCTTCATGACATGAAATATCAAATATGTAAAAACGAGAATTTTTGTATGTTTATGTACTGTTAATATAATATTTAACTGAAAAACAGTCATACCTTTTATTTTGACATTTACTAACCCTGCATGTTATTCCCACAGTTTAAATTTTTACCTTATTAAGCCATACTTACCTTAAACCCAATTGATAGGAAGATATTG